TAGCTAAAATCCTAGACGATCTATTGTATATTGTTATATTACTATTTAATATGCGATACTTTTTCTAAAATTCGTAGGTAATAATACATATATATATATATGTAGAAATGTGCATTATTAGGTACTCGTTATTGTTAATCTATTAATTAATTATGTATATATAAAATTTCTAAAAAGCATTTTAAAGTATTATGTACTCTTACAATCAAACCGCAAGAGATTCACAAATCAAAATTCTTTTGTCCTTTGATCACGAATTAAATGGGTTCTCGTAAAAACCGCTTTAATTTTTAATACGAAAAGCGCAAACGGAACTGCGATAAAAAGGAAGAAATATACGGGGCGATTCGAAACGTCGAGATTATTATATGTTCAAATTATTTACGATGTTGAGCTTGGACCGTTACGATTAAACGAATGGCGAATATCCTTTAAGTAGGAAGACCAAAGTCAACAGAAACAAATACAGACACTAAGGCAATTAAATGCTCACTAAATGCTAATAATGTGCCATAATGAGATATTAAATCCTCTGGGATGATTCCTCTTCTGCCAACTGAAAACATGAGCGAAAAAATTGTTTAGACAATAGAAATGGCGTTTTTGGTTTTCAAAGTGCCCAAAGCATTTAATTTCTTATTAGGGCATTTAATTAGCCTTCAATGAGTCTTTAATCACTACAAGACCCAAGCAGTAATTTTCTTTGTTTAAACTTGCTTTTAGATTCTTTTTTGTCCAAGTCGCGAAATCGTTTATATACTGGAAAACTAATGAGAGCATTTAATTCGTAACTGTCTGTTCTGAAGGCTTTTAATGAGCACTTAAGTACTATAGGACCAAAAAAGCCATACTCATTGATAAAACATTTTTTTCGCGAATGCTCTGCTAACTTAGTCTTCATGTGACAGACAGGAGGTAACTTTTGCAAATATGCCTGAAGCATTTAATTTCTCATTACGGCATTTAATGGGCCTTCAATGAGCTTTTAAACAGTATAATATCTAAACAGTAATTTTCTATGTTTAAACCTGCTTTTAGTCCCTTTTTGTCTAAGTCGCGAAATATTATATACTGGGAAACTAATAAGAGCATTTAATTGGTAACTGTCTGTTCTGAAAGCATTTAATGAGCATTTAAGTCCTATGGGACCAAAATACATAAATCATACTTAATTATAAGTTAGCAGAATAGTAACATTTGAAAAAATGCCTTTAGCATTTAATATCTCATTAAAGCACTTAATCAGCATTTAATTAGCACTTAATTGTCCATGTGTCTGTTTTTAATTCTAATGATTTTTCTCCTCCTACGATTACCCTTAAGGAACAACCGCGTACACCAAATTGTTTTTGAGTGTTATTCGAGACATTCTCATAAAAATGAGTAAAAGAGTAAAACAATATAGAAAACAAATATAAATAAATAAAATAAAAAAGAAACACTTACCGCATGTTTATAAGGCCCAGTTTTTCTTTCGAATAATAAAACTAAAATAAAAAGAAAATAAAGAAATTAGAAATTTAAACTACAAATCAAAAATCAGTACTTAACTAAACCAAACGAAATAAATAAAAAATTAAATCATTGAAATAAGAACACGATTTCCAAAACGAACAAGGATATATATGGCTAAACTTTTTCTGAACACATTAATCGCGATAACATAATGAGAATTTTAGAAGTTGTATTTAGATATGCCCATAAATTGGAGGAAATTTTGAAAAGGGATGTAAGTTAAGTACTCGAATAACCCTTTGATTTTTTTTTTTTGAAAAGAAGACAAGAGTTTTCGATTTGTGTTACAAACTTTTACAGACTAGAAAGTACCTAATGGTGGGTTGGTTCTGTACGCTATTGACGACGACTTTTCTTTCTGCTAATAACAATAATAATAGAGTAATCGACCTCTTCATTGAAGCAAAGCTAAACCTAAAGCGAAAAGCAGAAGCGTTATGGGATTTTCGGATTCTGTGGTCCAGGAAGAATTGCAACCATCTTCTTTACAACAATGCGTCTTCGTACCCCATGTTTCTGAAACAAACAAAATTCTGTTGTTATTTTCACTATTATAAATGCTTAGAACTATTTATACGAAAGGAATAGTTTAAATATTTTTTAATTTTTTGTACGAAAACTGACTCGATATTGAATAAGGCAGTGTAACAATTCTTGAGTTATCTGCATCTAATGTATACATATTTAAAACAGCACTGTTTTCAGAAACGCCTAGGCAGAACTGAAAGTACTTATTTACTCGAATTGGCCACGACCTATATGTATACATTGGTCCTTTAGGCTGTGAAAATCTATCGATTTGGATTGCGAGATCTGTAACTATCGCATTATACATAGCTATTAATACGAGGGTTCGGCACGGGTCCCTAGGGACCTTTAACGCTTGTCATGTCCCTGATATCACATCCCTAGCGGTTTAAATACTTCAATACGTCGAACGCATGATGCAATTGCAAACAAACATGCAGGATTCAAGCCGCAGGAGATGTTAACATGTATACATTTCAGCACTGCGTAATTCGGAACATACAGGGTGCATCCAATATCTAATTTTTAATTTACCTATACTGAAAAACGTGTTATTTTATTTACTAAATTTACGCATAACTACTCGGAAATCTATTGACCTACGATAGAACTCTACTCTACTAGTGTTTCTTGTATGTTCTGTAATTCTGTTTCTTACAATCCTCCTACATTGACTTTTGTACATATACAGGTACAGGTGGTCCAACAGTGGGCTTAAGCACAATAACTCAATTATTATATGAGCTAAAGAAAATTTTTAATACCAACAGTTTCAGGACTGACAGGTAGGCACCTCAGACTAAAATTATTCCTAGAGCGTTTGTTTTAAGATCATTACATCTTGGACAATGAAGTCCAGGATTCGAGAAAAGTCGGAAGAATTTTTCGGTAACAAAATGACAAACTTGTTACATGTTGAGAAAATGTGTTACCTTTAAAGGTGACTATATGAGAAAATAGTCAACATCATTAAAGATAGTACAACTGTAGAGATAGATATACAGGGGCAAAAGATTAGTATGCTTAGATTTGCAGATTATATAGCAGTATTAGCATCTAGCAAGGAGGACTTAGAGATAGCTTTAAATAAAACGGAAGAGGTGTTGACATAATAGTATTGTATGAAAATAAAGTAAAACAAAAATGCTGGTTTGCAAGGGATGAAAAAGTAGGAAAAGAGCGAATATAAAGATAGGAGACGAAAAGTTAGAAGAAGTGGCTGATTTTAGGTATCTAGGAAGTCAGATAAGCCAGGACGGACAGAGTAGTGGCAGGGATATAAAGCAGAGGATTATGCTGAGGGTCGAGTCGCCTTCAATAAAAAGAAGTCACTTCTATGCTCGCGAACGGTTCATTTAGAAATTCGAAAAGGGTTGTTAAAGGTATATGTTTGGAGCACGGCGCTGTATGGGTGCGAAACATGGACAGTGAGCGCAGCGGAAAAGAAAACATTAGATGTGTTCGAAATGTCATGTTACCGGCGAATGATGAGGATACCGTGGATAGAGAAGGTTAGAAATCACGAGGTATTAGAAAGAGTAGGAGAACAGATTCTATGAAAGTCAATAAGAAATAGGAGAGATAGGTTGGTAGGACACCTTCTCAGGCATGAAGGTCTAGTCAGAGACATATTAGAAGCAGAAACGGGAGTTAGGAGGGGTAGAGGTAGACCTAGATTGAATTACTGTTCACAAATAGTTAAGGATTTGTGTTGTTCTAGTTTTAAGTAAATGCGAAGATTAGTTCAGGATAGGAAAAAGTGGAGTCGCGTGTCCAACCAGTCTTAGTACTGACAACCTTATGATGATGATATGAAAAAATAAACATGATTTGAAGCTTAATTAAAAATTGTACTTTAACGCATTTGTTGCTCAGTCTTCCCCCTCGTATTTTTCCATTTCATTGAATATTATAAAGAAAACTTTGCTGAAGGACCGTGTTCTAAATTTTCCGGTGCTTTTTTTGCACTCGATATGAAGTGATAAACTGTAATAAATTGTATCAATTGAATCAAATCGAGGATATCGGTAGTGAAACCGTTCAGGATTTTCGTCAATTTCAACTCGACTTGACAGTGAATTTCGATCGGCTCCATTTTTGACTTTTCCTTTTATGACCGTTACCGCCAAACGTCATTATGGATACATTCGATCATCAAGCGTAGTCGAAATAGGAAGAAAACGACAAAGGATGAGGCGACGCCGTTAGCTACGTGACGCCAACGACGTCGACGCCATTGCAACTATAATTCTAAGTCATCAGAAATCAGATTAGTACAAGACAGAGGAAGAAAATCAGACAGACTACAGTTCTGTTTACTTATGTGTTAGGTACAGTCGTGTTTCTGGAAACTGGATTATTAGGCAACCTTTTAGACACAAAACTATTGGGATTCGTCAAATGGGCATACACCATCTGGTGGCAAAACTTATAACTCGAATGAGGGAAAAATTTACATAGAAACTGTGCCCGCAAATTGTAAAATTGTTTATTAAAATAATCAAACACGTTAAAAAAGTAAAAAATTTTTTGATGATGGAGTCGACGAAGTTTTCTTCTAAAGTTAAATCAAATAAAAGTTAATATGTTCAGTGAAAAACTGTAATAGCACTTCAGACATAGATCTTCACTCTTCACCTACATTAACTACTTTCCAACAAAAACTAACCGTTTTATATATGTAAAAAGTATATTCGGAAAATTAGAGAAAAAGTAAACTAACAGAAGCTTGGATGAAAGCAGTAGGTATCAAAGAAATGAATTCTGGAATAAAAATTTGTTCACGTCATTTTAATGCACATGATTATATTTCAGCAAGTATTTACCATCAGCCAAAACCTTGATATTTAAAACTAGAATCATACGAAAATTATAAAGTGAGAAATTATTTATTCCTGTGTAATTGATTTAACACAATTCTAATGATACGATATAAGTATTTTGAGGTTAAGAACCTACCTGCTGCAATACAACAAAGTTGCAATAATGTGTTTGCAACGTTCTCTTAAATCG